TACGTTATTGAAATACGTAATTTTTTTGAGTTCTTTTTTTAAAAGATGCCTAAGCTTTAAATTTTTTTTGGATTAAGCAGCTTGTTTTTTATAATTTATATTAAACGTTGCAATAAATTATTAATTTGAATTTATATTTCATTTCTATAAATTTCAAACAAATGCTTTAGTTTTTAAAACCCTTTTTAAATTTATTTTATAGAAATCTTAACATAATAGTTTTGTTAATGCTTTAGAAACCAGTGCTTTTTATTACACTTTTAAATTTGAGTTATGTCACGTAATGTTTGTTTTTGCACTAAAGTTTTTTGCTATTAAAAGTGTTTATAAGAGTAATCATAGAAAAAGTTTGGAAAGATTTATCATAAACTTTTATCATAATGTAATTGTGTGCACAGTTAGCCTTAACTGAAAATAGTTAGTTAAATAATTGTGTAAACAGTTAGCCTTAACTGTTGCAAATGTCGAATAAAATAAACAGCCACATAATTTCTAAATTTGTATGTGATTGGGATATAAGAGAAATCTGGGTAAATGCTCCATACAGAATATTCGAGAGCTGTCAAGAAAACTATAAAAATCTGGTTCAAAACATGTCTGCACAACATTTTAAGAATTGTATCAATGGAACCGCTACAGGTGTCCACTCATAATTGTAATTATGGAAATAATTTAGTTAGGGCATTAAGTTCCTATAATCGAAAACATCTTGTTTCTCTTGGTAATGTTGATCTAAATGTTGATGTTTTTTAGTAATTCAAATCATGAATAAATTATTTTTAATTTTATTTTTGTAAGTATATATTAATTTGATGTATGTTCATTTGATGATTTAAAACATGTGATGATCCATTCTTTAGCAATGTAATAAAACAAATTATCTTCTGTGTTATTCATTTCCAATAAATTGTCTGTAACTTTTAACTGAAATTGACAATAAAATTTTGAATAAAAACATGGCAGAGCAAAAAAAGGCACAAAACACTTGCAAAAAATTGTGCTAAAAAAAGTGGGAAAAAATCTTTAAAATATTATAATTACTTGATAAGAGTTTTTTGATTTGGTGGACTATATACATAAGTAAACAATACTCTTTCAGAAACCATCAAACTTGATAAAAACACAATTTAAAAAACCTAAATTTAGTTAATTAACCGTACGTATAATATTCTTTGATAATTTAATAAAATGGGTTTATTGTAAACAATCATTAGAATTAATTTATATTATTATTACTTTATTTGATACAGTAAGCATAATATTTTATGTGCTTTATTATATAAATATAAAATATATTTCTAATAATTTATATAGCATTTGGCATAGTATAGTATTTTTTAAAAAACATAGTGTAAATATATTTTCTTTTTCAAATTTTAGTTTTTTAAGCTTAGATTTTTTCTTTTTCTTGAAGACTTGCTTTTTTTAGAAAAATTATTTTTTTAAATTGTTTTTATTTTTGCATTTTTGAAATGCCTAAAGTTGCCAAACTTTAGTGGTCAAGTTAAAAAATAAAATATTATAGGTGTGGTCAGGAATGGCATTCAATCACATTTCTTCATGTTTTATCAAACATGTCCACCTTTATAATATTTAATGGACAGAATGTCTGGAACAACAAAGTTTGTTATTTCAAGCCCTGTATATATGTATGTATGTATATATATATATATATATATATATATATATATATATATATATATATATATATATATATATATATATATACACACACACACACTTATAGCCTGACTCGCAACGGAGTGCTTCTTACATCGACTGACAAATAGCCTGGCTCCCAAGGGAGTCCTGCTACATCAACTGACAAGTAGCCTGACTTGCAATGGAGTGCTGCTACATTGACTGAGGGTTTAGTTAGGGCAAGCAGTCTATCATTTAAAAAAATAAAAGTTATATAAGTTTTTAAACTATTTCTGGTCTGGTTTATTAGCGCTCTCTTTAAAACTACAGTTTTTGGGGAAAACTTTTCGTCTACCATGCAAGACTATATATATGTATATATATATGTACACATATATATACATATGGGCAATTACATTTTTAACTTTACGTTACACTTGCAACAACTTTATCAAATATTTGTCTATTTAAACTGTAAATTAAACTTTTAACTATTTTGTATGAAAGCTGTTAGTCTAAAAAATAAAATTAGCTAAAAAGTTTTGAGTCTGGCCAAAAGAGGGCGAACTTATTACTGAAAATGCCACTTAGCGTTACATGGAAACAAGGTAAAAAAATTGTTTTAACTTTTTGGTCAAGTTTTTTTGAATCGGTAAAGCGGTTTGTATTAGAAACTTTTGCAAGGTGTTAAGAATTCTATACTAATTTCAAAAATATATAAAAGTTTATTAGTGGTGACCGGCTAAGAAAAATAAACTAGTTTTTTTTTATACTTATCGTGGATTTTTATATTTATAATTAAGAATTCGAGTTACATAAAAAGTTGCAAAAGTATTGAACTCATTCATTAAAAATAGTTAACAAAGGAATTTTTAAAAAGCTGGTGGCACTCCTCCTAAGTGATTTTTCATAACATTTATGAAAGTTATCAAATCTAAAACAGTTTTTCTGCAAGACCAAGAGCAACTTTAAAAAATTATTTTAGTATTACAACTTTATTAATACTTATTTAAGTCATTTAAATAAGAAAATCTTTGGTTTGTCAAAGTTTTTATTTACACCCCTTACATTTATGCGCATTTCCATATTTTCATTAGGCTGAATATTTAAAATGCTGCAAAGTATTTACATTTTAACCTTTTAAAAAATTTTTGACGTAAAAACTACTATCACAGTTTAGGAGAAAGAGGGAGTTCAGGTATATGTGATTGTTTGTGACAGGAGGGAATGGGTTGAGAATTGAAAAATATAGGTTGACGTGCTTTATGGATGACCCCCTTAATTGCTTTTACAAACGATTTGTTTCACAGCAAAAATGAAAAAGGTTTTAACTGATTTTTTTATAATAGGAAAAATTCTTTTTTTTTTTTTATTTCTAAATAAAAACATTTATATAATTCTTATTTTTATTCATTTATATAAATGAATAAAAATAAGAATTATATAAATATTTTTATTTAGAAATAAAAAAAATAAAGAATTTCTCCTATTATAAAAAAATCAGTTAGAACCTTTATACATAATTATGTATATTTATATGCAACCAAAATAAGAATATATAAACAAATTGTAAAACAATAACATAAATAATTTAAATTAACATTAAAAAAAATAAAAGATTAATTTTCTAAATTCTCCTAATATAAAGAGTTTCAGTTATAACCATGTCAAAAGCGGCAAAAAAAAAATTAATGACATAATTTATTTTTTTAACAAAAAAGAGCCAGAACTTTAGTAAATGCATGTAGTTTTAACTTACGTTACAGAAGTTTATAATAAAAAATGTGCTTTAACTAAGTTTCGTTATTCAAAACTTTTAATAAAAACATAATATTAATATTCTTTCGCATATATTATTAAAAAACTTAAGTTTTTTAACTAAATTTTAGAAAAAAAAAAACTTTATCATGTTTTTGTTAACTTACATTACTTGAAAATTGCAAAAGTTCTTTTGTTATTTTCTTGAAATATATATATTTTATAAAGTATAAAATCTGACCAATAGCAATTTGAACATGTTAGCTCCATTTTCACGCAAATTAATTCTGACTATGCAAATAAATTCATGGTTAAAATTATATTTTACAATGATAACTGTAACTTTCAGAAGCATAAAAATGACTTAAACAAATTGATTTTAGTACTCGATGTAGTTAAGGCAGTTTAAAAAATATTTGAATACTTTTATTTGGAATTAGCAAATATTGGAATTAGGTTTTGTCAGCATATTATGCCCAAACAAGATCTTTAAATGTAATAATTTTTTTTTGCTTAAGGTTTTTATAATATTTAAAGAAACTTTTCTTTTTTATTTATAGTTTTTAAAATCTTTTTACTACCCGTAATAATGTATCTAAAGAACACTATTTTGGAGTCTTTAGATCAATTCCGCTCATGGCATTAACATGAATTTAGCTAAAGTCTTTTAAAAAAGTTACTTAATTTACTACTGATCCTAGTTCTAATCGGTTTTGACGTATATTAACTAAATATAGTTGTCAAAACACAATATTTATATGAATTTAAAAAAAAATACTGGAATTCCGACCAAGAAAGAGCTTATAATTATTTAAAATTGCCAATAAACGATCAGAACAGATCATATTGTTAAACTATAATGTTCATTTCACCTAAAAAACGTATTAATATAAAATCTTATTTAAATTTGGACGAGCAATTGTGATTTTAAATTGATTTTTTTTAAAAAAAAAAGGATTCCACGGTCTAGGTTTTTTCGCTACAAACATTTATATTTTATGATACCGCTAAATTTATTATTTTAATTTTTTTCATCTTTTCATAATTTCACAGACCAGAACATTTCACGGAAATATGTCATAATCAACAAAATATCATACAGACGCTATAATATTTTAAAAGTGCCTTAACTACACCGAGTACTTATTGTATTTTTTAAATAAACTTTCATGTGTCATATTCAATTGGTAAAAGTTGACGAAAAAAGAATAAAATTTGACTGCTTTTTCATTTTTCACCGTGGAATTGCCCATATATATATATATATATATATATATATATATATATATATATATATATATATATATATATATATATATATATATATATACATATATATATATGTAATCTTTGCATAATTAGCCTTGCATAAAACATCATTGATGGTGTCATACTAAAATAGGGTGCTGCCGGGGCTTAAACACCTACATTGGCTGTTTAATTTTGGGCAAGTAAGAATAGTAACTACAGCAGGTTTATATGACTAATTTTTTTTTTTTTAAACTTTGTTTTTTTAGCACATGTGGTTGTTTTTTGTTTTGTTTTGTTTTTTCATTTTTAAAATAAATTATTTTCTCAGGATATTATATTTTTTATCAAAGTTATTGGAGCTATCCAAAATCTACAAAAGGCTGGAAAGGTCGCATTTATTCATGGAGAGACCTCATTGAAGTTGCAGTTAAGTGGCGTAAGCTAGTGTCAATGGATCAACCAGTGATATGGTTATCTGAACTACCTAAACATATTGTGGATGTCGGTTTTACTACTCATATGTTGTTAAAAAAAGGAAATGTTGAAATGCCAAGGTATATTAAATTTCCTAGCAAGTATGATTTTGTAATTGTAATTCAATTATATTCTCAAACAATTTTTTTTACTTTAAGAATTACATCATATAGGTATAATATATACTAATAAGCTGATGAAGTAATGTTTTCGATCTTATCACTGATAAAGCAAAGTTTTTGACCTAATTACTGATTAATCAGATATTAATAGATTATGAAGATTTAAGAATACATTATCGCGTGGTCAAAAATATAAAAAGAAATATTAAAAGATTAAGCATACTAAATCTTGTTTATAAAACTCTATGTAAACACGCACAAATGAGTAACAGCGGCAGCAGGAGCAGTGTTAAGTTAAACATTATTTATAAGCGATAAGCAACATATGTAGAAGAATATGAGAGAATTCACAAAACTACAAAAGCTGAATTATTAAACGAGTTGAGTAAAATTTTTTGTCAAAAAAGAAAGAATGTCATTAGAATCAGAAATGATATAATATAATTTTAATAACACTATTAAAAATTTTCCAATAGTCTCTAAAATAAGGTGGATGGTTTAATTTTTAATTAATTTTTATTTTTTTTATTAAATTAATTAATTAATTTTTCCCTTAATTTTTCCTAAGAAATTTAGGAAAAATTAAGGGAAAATATATTCCGGATTTTTTTCATATATTTTACCCTTATGATTTTCCGGATTTTTAAAATATGACCTGGATGATCTATGTAGAAAATAAGTTGAAATATCTTGAGGCACAGTTGTTTATTGTTATAAATGGTGAAGCAAGTAAAAAATTCAAATTTTTGTTAGATGTTAGAACAGAAGAATATAAATCCTACAATTTTCATGTGTCTAGTATTAATTAAAGTTGTTTATATTAAAGTATGTCAAAATTATGTCCGCAAAATATTGTTATTTCTGCAAAATATTGAATTAAAATAAATAAATGGATAGTGATTGGATAACTACTTTTTTCGTTAAAGGCTAAAAGCTTAGTTGCTTAAATCCAATAATTACATTTTTATCTTATAAAAATTTTGTCAAATATATTATAGTATTAATATTATTAATTAAAATAATTTTCAGATATTCTACATACACATTAGAAGCTTTACAGTTAGCTAAGTTTATGATTCGGAGCTTGTTGGGCCAAAAACTACCTGCAAAAGCTCAAGACAATGTTATGAAAGCTGTTGCACCAATTGATATATTAAATGTGTTAAAGAAATATGATAGTGCTAACCCTAATGGAGGTAAGTTGTGATTATTTGTAATGTGGTAATGCCAACCCTAATGATGGTAAGTTGTGGATTTTTTATATATACTTAAAATTTAAGTCTTTTATTTGTTTTTTGCTTGAATGATTTTATAGGATTTACTGTTGGAATGCAAGTGCCATCTACTCGAAATAAAGGTGGCTTGCTGCATGGAGTTATGTTATCTATCACTGGCGAAACTGAAAGTGATGCTACACTTTCTATACAGAGTTCTCGAACATCTCTGCAGATCAACCAATATATTGCGGAATTTAATCATCTTTTTAATGAACTCAAATTAGCTGTTCTTAAAAACAAAACGGATACAGTTAACAATTTTTTTTAATTATTTTTATGTTTATACTAATTTAAATAATTTGATATATTATCTTATATTTTATTTAATTTATTTATATTGATTTTATTTTTCTTTAAATTACTTTGAATCGTATGGTTAAAAAAAAAAATAAAGAACTTTAAAACGATCTCTTGTTCTAGGACAATGATTTGGCTGTTGATATTGTGCTCAAATTCATCTATTACTTTTATAATTTATTGCCTCTCTCTAGAGGAACAAGGTTGGTATTAATTAAAAAGCTTCATCTTGTGAAATTTATAATATATTTTGTAAAAATTTGTAAAACAGCTAAAAAAATTATTTTAAATATTTTTTTTTTTTAGTGCTGTTGCTTATAGTGTTGCTGTAGGACTTTTTTTGGGTGTCAATAAAGAAATTACATCTTTTATACCCAAGGAAAAAGTATGTTTTTATTTCTGTAAATAATCCGCAGAAAGTGATGAGTTTTTTACATTTTTCTTTAAATTTTAAGAAAAAATAAGGTTTATGACATAATTAGCATAATTATTGTTTTTTAAATTAAGTTCAAGTTTTCAAAATAATAACTAAAAAAATTAAAAGATATTTAAAATTGAATAAATATGTTTAACTGAATTTTAGAATTTTTACTTTTATTTAAAAAAAGTATTTACTAAGCTTTAAATTTTCGTATTACTTTTTTAATATTTTTAAGAACTTTAGATGGTTAAGCGCCAAACCAACCTATTTAGCAAATTTGAAAAAAGAAAGACTTTATATTAAAAAATGGTTGACCTTGCGTTTTTTTGCAAACAACATTATACTATACTTTTAAAAAAATACTGAACAGCAATTATTTTTACTTTTGGTGTAGTGGCTTTAGTTAAAAAAAATTGTTTTTATTTATCTCTTTTTAGCATATTCATTGCATAGACTATTTTTGCATTAAGTCATCTATATCAGCTTGTTAAGTTTATAGACTTTTATTTGTGTTTTATTTAACGTAGCACTGGACAGGGTGTAATCAGGGAAATGTCAGGTAATTTAGATATCTGCAAAAAAAAATCATAGAATATTCAGGGAAATAGAATTAAATTTTAGAAAAATCAGGGAAAATGGCTCTTCACCAAACTTACGTAACTTAATAGAGTTTATATTGTACACATAATATAAATTTTTATTGGCAGTTTTATAAACTTTTTCTTCATACTTTTATTGTAGGTTTGTATTTTTTGTTATTGAATACATTTTTCGAAAAGAAATTAAGTATAATTTTACTGAAGTTGAGTTTAGGTTCCTTTAAATTAAATCAGGGAGAACAGATAGTGGATAAGGAAAATCCATGTTAAATTTTTAGCAGACACCCTCCTTAAATAAATATTTAGAATATAAAAGTCAAAATCTAAACTAAAATTGTATTTTTACATCGACAATTTTTATCTGAACTAATCTCTCTATTTTATAAATAAACAAAAATGCAAACTTATTTCACAACGTTTTCATATATTTAAGATGCAGTTAAAATTGGTGATTGATTTTTTTTCTTAGCGTTTTTGATTTTGAACAACATTTTTCCATTTTATTTTAGTATGCAGCTCTAAAACATGATTTCTTAACTTAAAACTACTATCTAATTGGGTGAAATTTAGTCATTCGACTTACTTGATCATTCATAACTTAATAATTCATTTATGGATTTTTATGCTGAATTATTAAAATGAATTTTTATGTCTTTTAAGTTTATATTTAATTTATTTTTAAAAAATCCAATTTTTAGTTATGTTATTAATATTACTTTTAATATTAGTGTTTAATTTGATTTAAATTTTTGTTTTTTTACTTTTATAGCTTGATAGTTTAAACTTTATATTATCTTTGTTAATACTTTCAATCTAATATAGTAATATGAGTAATATAAATTGGTTAAAAAAAATTATTATTATATATTTTTTGTTGCATTGTTTTTGTTTTTTTTGTAGCAACCTGACATTGAGTCTTATTTTTCTGGTAGCCCAGATGCTTTTGTAAAAAAAATGAGAACGTGGATGACTTTCAAAAAGTAAAATTTTTTTAATTTTTTAATTTTAATTTTTAAATATAAATTCTAAGTTTAAGTCGTTTACAATTTTTTTTTTTTTCCTTAAGTTAAATGATTAAATAATTATTAATTTATAAAGCTCAAATCCACCAATCACGAGCTATCCTTCAGTGTCAGAAACCTTTTCCACTTCTCGAACGATTATTGAAGCATTAAACGTCGACGTTACCGAGAAAATGTGCCGAACGTTTTTGTTGGAGTCATAGCTGCTGGTTTTAATATATTCTGTATTTATTTTATACGTGTTTTTATAGAATATTTGTTTAATAATATCTGAGTTCTATGCGCGTCGTAACCCAAAAAAAACTTATATGTGGGAAACCCATTAATCTAAAGTTTTAATTAGAAGAATATAATTCTTTTATTTCAAACCAATGTTTATTCCGATATTAGGTTCATGCTTCTCAAAAGTAATAAAAAGGTATTGCCATAAATTTTATTCTTAAAAAAACTATCGTATTTAATAGTTATGTTTGATTTCTATAAGGGAAGTTACAGAACTCAACTTTTCTGAAATATTTTTCAATGAGAGGTCTTTAAAAAATATATTTGTTCATTTAGAGTAAAATGAGTTCTATTCCCTCTATTTTCAATATAAATTTTAAGGGAAAAAAAATATTAAATGTACTTTATCAAAATTAATCATGATATACTAAACATCTTGTTCTGTTGAAATCGAAAAAAATCAATCATGATAATACTAAACATCTTGTTCTGTTGAAATCGAAAAAAAATCAATCATGATATACTAAACATCTTGTTCTGTTGAAATCGAAAAAAAATCAATCATGATATACTAAACATCTTGTTCTGTTGAAATCGAAAAAAAATTAATCATGATATACTAAACCATCCTGTTCTGTTGAAATCGAGAAAAAATCAATCATGATATACTAAACCCTGCATTTTGTTCTGTTGAAATCGAGAAAAAAACATCTGTTGTTTTATTGATAGTCATTAAAAGGGATTAAAGATATCCATTATTAAAAAAACCCTTAAGGAAGATATTTCGGTGACATTCTTATTTATTGGAAATAAGAAAATTGATTAACTCAAAAATAAATTTCTGCTTCTGTTGTCGTTTGTTTTCAATGATAAAAATAGACTTAACTTTAGGCGGATTTACTGATTATGCTTATAGAGGAATACAATTATATGGGCTTCAATTTTTAAAGAAACATCTTGAATCAGTGTATAAATGACTAAATATAAAATTTAACACTGAACACAAATAAACCTTATTAAAATGAAGATTTGTTCAATAAAGAAAAAACACAGATGACGTATAATTTTGACATGTATCGTAAAATTTTGACATGTATCGTAAAATTGTTTTTAAGTGAATAAAATTAAGCTTTTAGGGGCAGCATCGAAAATCTCTTTGAAATAAAAAATAAGGGTAATTTTTATAAATTAATTAAATTATTTTCATATTTTATTACAAATCAAAAACTGAAACCAAAAAAAGATTGTTTAGAGTTGTACATATATCTAAGTAAGTAACAGGACCGACGATACGGATTTCGAAGTGAGTGTGAGGGGGGGGGGGGGGGACATAGGATGTTCCATTCCCACAAAATTTTCGAATTACCACACTAACTTTTATATTGAGGTTTAGACTAAGTAAAAAATAATATTTACTAAGCATTTTTTTAAAATATAAAAATTTAAGGGTCCCTCACTAAGAAACAGTTGAGCAAACCCTTTTTTACTGTGTTTTTTTAATTATTTTTGTTCAAAAAATTAACAAATATATTTTGTAACATCTTCAACTTTTCAATCTTATTTATACTTTATAAAAAATTTGAGTTTAAAAAATTGATTTAAGGGTTCCCCTCTGACTTAAATAGTAAAGTGGTTTTAAGTATTTTAACTTCTGTTAATGTAAGATTGATGCAAGTAACACTGTTTAAAAAAATAATCAAATATTCATTAAATTTTCTTTTCATCCTTGAAAAGAAGCTCGTTTACGATGATCATCTACTATTTGAAGTAACAGTTGAAGCTGCGCGGGGTCCTTGACTTTATTTTTAAAGTCTTGTATAAGTTTTACACCTGTCTCGGCGCAGTCATTCACAACTTGATCTTTCATCTTCATCCAGTGCTCAACAGGCAACTGCATCCAATCTACCTTGTTTGCAGTCATCTTGATTAGGTTAAATAACAGCCAGGAACGTGGACTAATTAAAGCGACAAAGGAAGGGATGTTGTCGCCATCGACTTTCGGGAAAGACAGTTTTCCAGGCTTCATTTCTTCACTTCTTTGGGTATCGTACAACTTCAATGCCATAGAAGATCTTTCAATAAGCGAAATGTCCTCATCAAACATCGCGAAGATAACTAACTCTTCAGTTAAATACCAAAGGTGTCTGTTGCAAGACTGAATGGCTGTATCAGAAGCAATTTTGTCTGTAACACGGTACCACTGCATATTGGCGTTGTACTGACGATCAACTTTTGGTGCAATAGCTGAGATGCAACTTTGTGAAAAAGCCTTTGAAAAGATTGCTTGAAAGAGAGCAATAAAATTAGCAATTCTTTTCAATTTATGCCGTTGATACGGATGGAGCGATGCAATCTGTTGATCCAACATGACAAGTTTCAAGGTGTACAACTCATTGTGCATAAATCTTGCACGATGATGCGCACCCGGTTTTTTGAAGTTAAACATCTTACCTTTTGGCAAGTCACCTCCAAGATAATGAACTGTCAGTTCAATCAATTCTTGATAATCGGCCCTTGGAAAGATATTCTCTTTAAGGCACTTACTTGCCCAGTTCAGAACGAGTGTTGCTTGGCGATGAATAGGATGGTTCTCTTCCGGCCACTCAAATTTTTTTATATCTGTAGACTCGGGAGAATCTCATATGTTTTGAAGCATTTTTAAAATTGGCTCAATAGGTCCGTTATGACTTCCATTAACTGCATCCCAGACGTGACGAATATGCAGTTCATAAACATGATGGCGACAAGCTGTCCACAATAGCGCATGACCTACTTCTTTCTCAATGAGTGCTGCACATCCAGTTTTCCGTCCAGTGTTACTATAATTGGTGTCAAAAACTAAGGTAATCAAATTATCTAACAGTTTCTAGGAAGAAAAATACTTAATAAAAGCATCTTTCTGGGCGTGACCAGTAGAGTTGACAGTTACAGGGATTTCTAGACCTTTTTCGTTTGCATCGTTTGATGATTCATCCCAACCACTAGCCAGAATAGCAATATGCTCCTCTTTCTTTCCTACATACAAAAAGTGTTTGTTTTTAAATATTTTAGTATTTTTCAATATTTGCATTTCTAAACACTTAAAACAGTAAGCAAGTAATAAATTAATCAGCAAGTAACAAATTAATCACAGTAAAAAATTAAGTGACGAAACAAGTTTTGAATCCCAGTGACTGGATGGATAAAAAGGGCGCTTCTCCTGATATTTCTCCTTTATTTTGGCACCTTGTTTTTCTCGTTCTACTTTACGATTACGGTAAACTGACGATCGCGAGATTGGAAAATAATGTAACGAAGCACCGCAAACCTTAATAACTTTTGTATCAACAGCCATTTGATCTTTTGCGCTGAGTCCTAATCGATCGGATACATCATTGAATGATTTTGTTAACGTAGTAGGATCAATTTGAATACAAACATTTGACGATCTGGTTTTTCTTTTTTGCTAAAAGGGAGTGAAAACTTCGACTTCTGAGCTGCTTGACTCATTCTCACTCTTCTTGATGATTTCTTCTACTTCTTGATCACTTAGAGCTGTTTTTCTTTTTTTAGCTATGCTGTGAGCATTGACTCTGTTTTCAAGGCAATCAAGGCGTAATGCATGAACTTACCTGTGGATACTTCCGTTGGTTCAGTAAAAACTCCTAGTCCTCCTTCCAGATTGCAAGTCGAGATACAGGTTATATGTAATATGTGTCAACAACTTCTTCAACGCAGTTTGCCATTCATTAAAAACTGCAATGAAATACTCGATACATTTGTTATCTGGCTTAACTGGTAAGTGAGCTCTTTTCCAAATTTCTTGTAATTCAATCAAAATATCTTTAAAAATATTTTTTGCCGATACTTTTATTTCACCACTTCCTTGTTGATTTCTCTAAAGTAGAGGTATCTTCTGAGCAATGCAATATTACCACTTCCTAATCACCACTTCCTTGTTGATTTCTCTAAAGTAGAGGTATCTTCTGAGCAATGCAATATTAAGAAGTTTTACACTGACACTTAAACTTTTCTCTAATCCGAATCCAATAAAGCAATCTTGATGATGATTTCGCGGGGATCGTGCATTTTCCATTGAACGATTTTTCTCTTTTATACTAGGTTTCGATAGTTTACGAGAACGTAGATCCACTTTTGTGGTTACCACTCAGCACTAGCAGAAGCAGATACTTGAGATGCCGTTTAACAAAATCTGGCCCAAATTACTTTACTGAAAGTAAAAAAAAAAACAACTTTTTTAAGCCTAACAATTACAAAAACTTTAATTGCTTGTGTTTTAACTATATAAAACTCTAAGTCTAATTATTTAAAGCAAGTAAAACATTTAGAACACTAATTTATTAAAACCAATATTTAAACAAATTATATTATTGATCATGTCTAAATCTTATTATTTAATAATACTAACATTAAAAACTAAATAATAGTAATAATGTTAATATTAAAATGTTAATATTAAACTTACTGCTAAAACAAAGAAACTTAAAACAAACAACTTACAAAATTTAATATTAACCACGCTAATAAAGAAACAACAGGAAAATAAATTTTCTTTATACTGAGTGTCCAATTTAAACGCAATCATTGTTTTACAATAATTAATTGGTTAAAATAAGACAATAATCTATACATAATGTTTTAAGAATACATTTTTATAATGAACCAAATTTAAGCCTTTACGGTTAATAACTACTTTCTAACAATACCAAATTACAAAACCACTTGATTATTCAATTCGGCGGGACCCTTAAATAAATTTTTTTAACTTAAATTTTTTAAACAGTATAAATAAGATCGTAAATTATACTGTGTGAAAAGTTGAAGATGTTGCGAAATATATTTGTTAACATTTTGAACAAAAATACTTACAAAATACGGTAAAAAATGATTAGCTCAACTTTTACTGAATGGGGACCCTTAAATTTAAATATTTTTTAAAAATACTTAGTTAATGTTATTTTTTTCTTAGTCTAAACCTCAATTTAAAAGATGGTGTGGTAATTCGAAAATTTTGCGGGAATGGAACACCCTAGGGGAAGGGGGGCACAATTGTAAATTTCTTAAAAAAAGTTCTCTATATCTAGAATTTTCTAGAATGATAATAAAAAAAAGGTCCTTTAGAAAAAAAGTTAAGTGTTCAAAAATAATTTTTAAATTTTTCAAGTAAAACATTTAAATATTTAATCTAAAGGTGATAAGCGATACTCGAAGGGTATCTTAAAACTATAAAGAAAACAATATCTGTTTGAAAAAGTAAGCGACCAATTAAAAAATAACCCAAAGCGCTTTTATAATGAACGGAGTTAGAGGTAGGCAAAAAACATGCTCAGGTTCCTTTTCCCAGATGATTATGTATGTTAAAAAACGTATATGCGAATTAAGAGATATAGCTCATGAATTCAATTACTCTATAATTCTCTATAATTAATAATTAATTATTTTAACAAATAGTTTATTCCAAGAATAGTTCATTTACAAAACAAAGGTGCTTTTCTTGCTTTTTTTGAAGAGAAATTTCGAATAACTTTGCCAAAATCAATTGACCTAGATATTGAAGATTCGAAACTCAACATTGCCAAATCCACTAACCGTCCTTGTAGCATTGTAGTTCTTAAAAAGTTTTTAATCAGTTTTAGTTTGCTGAATGAGCGTTCAGCGGATACATCTGTAGCAGGAATTGTTAAGAATATTCTCAAGCATACACAAATATTTGGAAATAGACCATGTAAATTAGTTCGACTAATCGAATTTAGGAGTTCAAAGGGGCTTAATTGATTCGATCCAAAATTTGCATAATGTATAGATTTTAAGTGTTTTATTTCCATTACAATATCTTCGCTAACATCTGCTGAATACTCTTCACTTAATAATTTTGCTTTCATTTCCAATGTATCCAAATCAATATTGAGATAAATCCACATGAAGCTAACCTTATCTGAAAAGCTCTGTGCTGCTTGGAATCTTACAGTAAGGCCACCAATAACACTATCTAATACCACATAGAAAACAAATCTTTTAAAGCATGATTCCTCCATGGTCTCATCTTCATTTAAATCTGTAAACCCTTGATCCCCTGGCTTGCCAACAACTCTGGCTCTTTAGCGATTCGCACCACCACGTCCTCTTGATAGTTTGACTTCTATATCCAAATTCATTGCAACATTCTTTGATTCTGACCAGATATCTTTCCATTTATTCTGAAGCTCAAGAAGTTGTCTTAAAGTTGTCTTAGTAAGTGGTTTATGTTGTCCACTTCCACATCTAAAGTTGCATTTCTTGCTTGAATAACTTTGTTGCAAAAATCAATCGGAACAAGAATTTCGTACCATATCGATGACATTATTATGCAGGAAAGTGAACTAATATAATATAAGGCACCTTCTACTTCAGCTTTTGTAGAAGTCAAATTTAATCAGTAGATTATATTACTTTAATTTAAAGTACTATAATCTACTGATTCAGTAGATTATAGTACTTTAATCTCTAATTAGAATTTAGATTGTATAAATCTAGCTAGAAGTTTCTCCTTTTTTTCTCCGCGTGCCCCTTATTTTCGCTTTATCTAGTTGAATTCTAATTAGATTCTCTTTAGAATTTTTCAGTGGGACCAAAATATGCCCATATTTTAAGTGTATGAATATCTTTATCTAAATGTGCAAAATATGTGTTTTTTAAGTAAGTCACTTATAAATTTTTGTAATTATTATTGTAATTATTTAAAAAAAAAGCTTTGGTTAATGGGCCCCAATTGTTCTATGGGTCCTGGAGCAGTGCACCACCTGTACCCCCTCTCAGTGGGCCTATATATATATATATATATATATATATATATATATATATATATATATATATATATATATATATATATATATATATATATATATATATATTAATTACAATATATCATCGTATAAATATCGTTATACATTAAACATCAGAACACGGAGACTCAAAGAGGATCGTAATATCATGTCACTGAGAATCGTTTAGCAATGCAGTAAAAATATAAGCAGTTAAATAATTACAATAATTGACGTTTAGAAATAAAATTTAGATCTAACCAGATATTTCAAAACATAAATTAGCGTTCAACACTATTTTGTTCCACAGAAAAGCTCCGCGATATGTTAAAAAAGATCTTCCAAAACTTGTATGAGAATAATGTTGATGAATAAGATTGTAATTTCTTAAGTCATATTAAGAATATTCATTTCGTTTAAAAGAGACCATGACAAAAACAATGTTTAAAATTAATATATCATGCAACATGTTTCTGTTGGCGATAAAGTGGTTTTAATTTAGTTTTACTAACACTTCCCCCAAACCGCAAATATTGTATAATTAACCATCTTTTTAAATAATTTATACATTAACCAATTTGGCTATGAAAAAATAATTTCACCAAACATACATTATCCCATTTCAACTTAAAATCTCTTTTGAAAAATTTAAGTATACATTAGGTTTTTTCAACGACCTATGGTAGGCATTCGTCATTGCTAATCATCAAATTTACATACAAATATACATCAAATATATATAGGCTATACCGTATATATTGACCATATAACTATACTGAATATTATTGACCATTAAAATAAAAAAAACTATGTATAGAAAATGGTTCAGATATTATTTACCGGTAATCAACTTGTTTTTAGAAATAATGATGATCCAAATGAGTTTCTAAATATATCTTGTGACTTTTCCGCGGGTTGTGTTGCGCTTTTGCGGGTTCCATTTTAGGAACATTATTTTTCTTGATTTATAAATTACCTAAATTAAGACTCAAATTTAATGAGTATCATGTTTGCTGATAACGCTAACTATTGCTTTCCAATACTGATAACTCCAATTAAATTTCTCTACTATAAATGGCGAGCTTAAAAATACAAAATGGACATTCAAACTAAATATATAAAAATGGTTTAAATTAGGGTTGTTTGCCGAGATACAAGACTTGCAAAAATTTCGCATCTTTATCTACCGTATTTCAAAATGGTCTTACATATACAAAATTTACCTTTCATAAAGTGTTAAACAAAAAATAAAATAAAAATTAAATTGCGTAATAACGACTTGCGAAAAGAAATTTGCGAAACGATGTATTTCGAAGAAAGACTTTTGTAAACGTCCCTTACAAAAGGAGTATTTCGAAACGTGCACTTACGGAAAAGACTCGGTAAGATTGTTTAAACTGTCAAACATAACAATAATAATAGTAGCAAATATAGAAAAAGCTAAATTTCAAACAACACTTGATTTTTTTTAAACTTAATCAGAGTTTCAAGCAAATAAGCGATCATCAAATCACGGTAGAATTTACGGGGAGTATTATACCCCTCCCCCATCTTTTCTCTAAAGAAAGCGATTTTTAAATTATAGTCGGTTTTTTGAGGAATATAATTGGTTAGTCGGGCACATTTTAACCGGGTGAATTTATGTTTTGATGAATTTTGTTATTTTATTTAGAAATCAGTTGGTACTTTTTCGAATTCGCCCCCTCATTTAATTTCTAGATTCGCCTCTACATCAGATATCAAAACTTAAAATACTTTAGGAATACGTTAACTATTTTCTTCACGATATTTTGCAATGTTGACAGATTACAAACTTATTAATAATTACTGGCGAATCTACATGATCCCATACATATGATTTAGTTGCTTAGTATTTACTTTAGTGTTTTTCATGTTATTTACATTATTTAATTCTTGTTCGTTAAATGAAATTTTAGAAGTATTTATTACGAATACCGTTATTTATTTATAAAAATTAGTATACGCATTTGACACTTATGAATATCAATAAACAAATAGCACTTAGTTACATAATTAAACATTTTTGGTTCATAAAACATAATTAAATCTATAATGACGTGTTTCATAAGTTTTTCTCCGTAAGTGACTGTTCTGCAAGTTATTTTGTGAAAGAGTATGTCGACATAAGTTTTTATTTTTTATCATTGATTCAAAAAGTAAATTTTTATATTGGTAATATTTTATGATTCTGAAAATAAGATTTATTTAGAAACATTTTAAAACATAAAGATGTTTAATTTTTATAATTCTACCCGTTTGGCAAACAGATTTTCATAATGAACTTTGAAATGTCGATAAGCGAAAGCGAATGTATCGCAAATGCTACATCGAAAAGCGCTAATTTTGTATGAAGCAAAAAAGCCTAATTTTGAAATTCAACTTGCGAATTTCGGAATGAGTACTTTCGAAACATCGACGATTTTAAATGTTTTGTTTATTTCGATACGAAAAAATTTTTTTGTTATCAATATCTTTTCAAAAGAATTTTTTTTTCCGGAATTTTACAAAAGCTTCCTGTTAATAACTCTATTTTAAATGCAATAAACAAATTTTTAACGTTAACAAAACAAAAGTTTTGCAGTCTTAAAAAAAGTCACGAGGTTTTAAGGTGTTTTTCTTTATGAAAATGTGTTTCCTCAAGATTACGTATTGTATATACTGTTTTAAAACTAATGTCAAACTCTCTGTTATATACTTTTGATACATAGAAGTCATTTTTAATGAATAGAGGTCAAGCACTCCCCTACGGACATTTGTTTTTAAAAGTTACGCTCTAAATATATTTTAAATGTCTTTTAAACGTCTTTTAAACATTCTTACGTAAAGAACATTTAAAAGACATTTAGAACGTAACTTTTAAAAACAAATGCCCGTAGGGTTAGTAAACAACTTTTATGCAAGTCCCATTTTTGTTTTGCACTTTAATGTCAATGACCAAGTTGCAAGTCTCATTTTGGTTGATGTCAATGACAAAATTGAACTCTATCACATTCGGGTCACTATAATATATTGAATATTTCAGAGTTATTGAGCAACCTATAGTTTTATATCCGCATATTTTTATACTTTCACTGGTTGTTGAATAATACAGGTCTTTAAAATACAGTCTTTTTTAGTATATTACAGTCAGTATAATAGAGTCTTTTTTATCAGTAAGATAAATTAAATTCATATTTTTTATTTACAGCTGTCATTTATTGTAAAATTTAAACTTTAATTTCAATAAGAGTTTACATTTTAAAAAAACACAGTCTTCTGCATATTATACTAATAGTTTTAAAATTCAGTTTTTAACATAACACTCAAGCAATTATGCGATTTCAGATTTAGTTAATAACATAAGTGATTAGTTTTAGTTAACAACATAAGTGATAACTTTTGATAAAAAGTGATAAATTTTGATAAAAAGTGATAACTTTTGATAAAAAGTGATAACTTTTGATAAAAAGCAATTTGTATTAAAAACTTTTATAGACCTATTCATTTGACACAATTATTCATGATAACCCTTGATTGGTTTAAAATTACCTGTGTAATAGGAAACAATGTTATTTAGAACGATAATAAATATTCAAATTTTTTAAAAAAGTTCTACCCTTGGTCCTTTTTTATTTTTTATTTATATTAATGAACTTCCACGATCCGTAAATCTTGATGCAAATATGTTTTCTGATGACACAAATTTGTTTTTTTTCTCAGCATCAATCAAAAACCTCTTTGATTCTGCAAATTGATTGTACAATTAAATCTAAACTAAATTCTCTATATATACATCAGAAACTAGCATCAAGATTTTTAATAAAAATAAAATCACATTTTTTTTACTTAAAAATTTGAATGCATTAATCAAGTAATATTAAAAAGTTTTGAATTCAATTTTTTTCGAAATATATAATAATGTTTGTTATAAAAAAAAGAAAAAAACTAAAAGGTTTTATCTCCTCAAGAATTATTAATACTACTCTATAAAGTGTTGATAAGATAATTTTTGATAAGAGAGTGAATATTGATTTGATTGCAATTGTTGCAGCAAGGCTATCTATAGACTGCGTATCGGTGAACTATCCCTAGACTGATTGGTGTTGACATTATTAAGACTTGAAACATTTTTCCTGAAGCACAATTTTCTTGTTTTTGAAATAACAGAAAAACATTGTTCTGATGTAATAAAACCAGACGCTAGCTTTTGCTAGATGGATATGTAAAGATACATA